AGCCTGTCCTTAGGTTGGGGTGGCTTCAGGCATCAATGTTGGCTAAAACATTCACAGGACATAGCGTGTCTGGGGTATGATTTCCAGAACTGCCCGAAAGCATAGTAGTTATTTGTTTTCAGCCACTTGATGACCATGCTGAGACCATCTGAGACCTGTAAGGCCGGCAGGTCCTGCAGGTGCTACTGCCAACACCCAACAAAACACACACACACACATATATATATATACAGTATATATATATATATTATATATAATGCAATACGTAATTCGCGCTTGAGAGCTCATTGTCTGCATTTGTTCCCTGACATTTTAGTGTAGGGTTCGCAACGACCGATGATCGATGATTGGGAGTCCTCAATTGTATCAGTGGAGTACTCTCCCATTATATACCTAAAGTTTAATACACATATTTGACCATATTTGCATATAAAATGTATACTATATCCCTAGGCTTCATCGACTAATAAACACATAGCCTTCGCGGAAAACATTAAACACAAAAAATACGCTGTTCCCCAAATAAAAGCTCTTGCACCAATGCACCCTTTTAAATATTTTTAAATATACCCTTCAAGTATGCACATCATACTGCACATCATTGTGCATATATAGCCCCCAAACTCCTGGCTCTCAACACACAAATAGGGATGGCGTCATTTTTTAGGGGGGGCGGGTGCGTGCGCGTGCCACCTGACCGAATCCAAGAGGAGGATCCCCCAAAAAGATCAACGGACCAAGCACCCGCTCTCGACGCCACCAACCACCAGGTTCCCCCGGTTCGCCCGGTTCCTTCCGCGCAAACCCTTTTGTTCGGCCAAACTCGCTGCAAACCTGGGGTTCCGATGCCACACCCATCTCGCTGCGTGAGCGGCGAGAATTTGTTGGTGGCGCATTGGGGTGGTCCGATAGGTCCATAGTGAGAGAATCCCTATGTGTTGGAATCATTTCAATAGCACCTAGAAGATGGCAGAATTCCAGGGGCTCTTCTGACGGCTCAGGTTGAACAAACACGGCTGAGGCTTCTGCCACTCACTAGCGCACCTCTTTTTTGGGTGGCAGGCTCCGCTGCCATCCTACAATCGAGTGATAGCCTCCTCAGGCTCCGCTGCCGTGTCTTGTGTGCTTGACGCGCCTTATCCTCCGCATGACCTGCATTTGTTCCACACTGCGTAGATAGCACCTTCCCTTTGAAACCCCGCAAATGGCCCACACAATGTTTGCATCCTCATGGAAAAAGCATGGAAAAGCACATTTGCGCAGGTGAGCCGCTCTGTCCAACTCTGTCCCCGTCGGAATTGGCGCCAAACCTTTGGAGTAAGGGCAAAGGGCACCGTGACTGGGACAGAGTGCAGCAAGGAAACCCGTCCTGGGACGGACACCGTGGGAGTGCACCAACCTCTCTTGACTTGCGAGATCTGAGTCCTGTTCGACACGTGACACGGGTGTCCCCCAAGCAAGCTAAGCACACCAGAGATTTTTTGGTATGCTCTTCTTGTGTGTGTGTCCACCCCTGGACAAAGGGTTTCCTTCGACCACCCCAATCAGGCAGGGGCAGGCAGGGGGCGACAGAGTCGCTGCATGGCTGTCGCCAACGAAGCTCCATGCAGTTGACTAGGATATCACGGCTGATCACCGTGACGTACCTGCCACAGCAACTTTTGACCACGCTGTCTAATTGGCTTTGTTTGTTTCCATGGTTCTTCATGCTATCACCCCCAAACATACTCGTCCCCAGCAGCTGCGCCGCCGATTTGTTTGCTGCCGCCTTTGTGACAACAATGTTAAACCTTTCAAGTGCTCGGACCCATGCACCTTTCTGTTCTCTCACCTTCCTTCCCAACGTGACTTGCGTTAACTGAAAACCAGTGTCAGAGTGTGTTTCGCTCAGCCGTCCCACTCGGGTGCTGAGTGTGATCCCCGTCACAGGGGCACCGATCTTGCATGGGAAAGCAACCACCCCAACGCACCACCGCTCACTGGACTCTCACAGGAAGGCACCGACACCCTCACAGAATCAACTGCCACACCGGCCGCCGGGCCAAAAAACGGTTCTTGAAGAATACTTCAGATTCCAACTTTCAGATCTCAGATTTCTTTTCATGTCTTCCAATGATATCAGGTTTCAGATTTCGGATCGGCTAAGTATTCACATGCCTGCGCTGCTAAGTATTCACAGGCCGGATGAATTCATCATGCACAACCCCCCCCCCCCCCCCCCCCCCCCCCC